AGAAGAAGAAGAAGAAGAAGAAGAAGAAGAAGAAGAAGAAGAAGAAGTAGAAGAAATGAATGTGCCGGGCGGTGGTGGCGCACGCCTTTAATCCCAGCACTTGGGAGGCAGAGGCAGGCGGATTTCTGAGTTCGAGGCCAGCCTGGTCTACAGAGTGAGTTCCAGGACAGCCAGGGCTACACAGAGAAACCCTGTCTCGAAAAACCAAAAAAAAAAAAAATAGGAAGGAAGGAAGGAAGGAAGGAAGGAAGGAAGGAAGGAGAAAGAAAGAAAGAAAGAAAGAAAGAAAGAAAGAAAGAAAGAAAGAAAGAAAGAGAGAGAGAAAGGAAGGAAGAAATGAATGAATGAATGAATGAGTGGTTTGTCTGCATGCATGTCTGGACACCAGGTCTCAGTTCTCTTGGAACTGGAGTTGCAGATGGTTGTGAGCCACCATTGGTTGCCGGTAATAGATCCCAGGTCCTCTGAAAGAGCAGTCATTGCTCTTAACTGCTGAGCCATCTCTCCAGCCCAGTCCCATCTTTGAAAAAGAGAAAAATTTAAGGTCCCTTGCTGGGCATAGTAGTGCATGCTTGTAAACCCAGCACTCTAGAGGCAGAGGCAGAAAGATCAAGAGTACAAAGTTAGCCTCAGCTACACCCTAAGTTAAAGGACATCTTGGGAGAACGTTAGACCCTACCTAAAAACATAAACAAGATACACAAAAGGCTGACCTAAAACCATGCAGCTGCCTGCTTACTCTCTAGAGGTATTCTCCCCTGGCATCCCCTAGCATAAATCCGAGTCACTGCTGTCATCTGTTAATTCTCTACTGCAAACACTTTCTGTCGCCAAATCCCTAAGAGGCTGGGGAAACTGAGGCCCCAGCAGGTAAAATGACTTCTAGTCACAAAACTAGAACCTTCAGTGCAGAGAGTCAAACAGTTCCGAAGCACCATGGACACTGCCCTTCCCAACCACGAGGGGGCGCACACAACCACAGCCACGCTTGACTTTTCTGCCTCCCTCTGAAAGGCTTGGCCTTGGCTGGAGGGGAAGGAGCCTGCTTTGGGTTCCAATCCTCCCTCCCTGAAGCCCTTGGCTACAGGTGATGTCAAGATTCTGAGCCTTGCTGTACTCACGTATACAGAGGACTCAATGAACACAGCCTAACCCACAGGAAAGCTACCAGATGCTAGACACACCAGAGAGGTACAACAGGGTTGTATGATCACTGGGGATAATATACACAGAGCATGTGCACTGGCACGCGCACACACACACACTCGTTGACGCAGGTCCATGCTAGTCCCCAGCCTGGGTGACTTCTAAGCATGTTGTAATAGTCTAAATCAGTGATTCTCAAGCCTTTAATACAATTCCTCATGTTGTGGGGACACCCAAACCATAAAATTATTTCCTTACTACTTTTTTTTTTAAAGATTTATTTATTTATTCTACATATGTGAGTACACTGTCGCTGTTTTCAGACACACCAGAAGAGGACATCAGATCCCATTACAGATTGTTATGAGCCTCCATGTGGTTGCTGGGAATTGAACTCAGGACCTCTGGAAGAACAGTCAGTGCTCTTAACCACTGAGACATCTCTCCAGCCCAAATAAAATAAATTTAACAACAACAACAAAAAAAGAGCCCGGATGTCCAGGCTTTACATTACATGAATGAGGTTACATTTTTACTTCTTTGTTACATTTATAGTTTTGTGTGTGGGGTGTGTGTTTTTGTTTGTTTCAGACAGCATCTCACTACACAACCTTGGATAGCCTGGAACTCGCTTTGTACACTTGCCTGGCCTAGAGCTCACGGAGATCCTCCTGCCTCTACCTCCCAAGCTCTGGAATGAGAGGTGTGTGCCGCCACACCTGGCTGTTGTACAGCTTTAACGTCACTAAAGCAGTGTCCATAGGCGAGCAGCGGTATTCCCATCCAATCCCCTGTGCCGAGCACTTGGCTTGCTTCTGGTTATTGCACAAGTGTGCCATACCGACTGCTGTAGTCAGCAGGTTCCTTCTGAGCCATGTCCAACCTTTCTTGCCGTTACTTCAAAAAAACTCAGAGTCACACGGGCAACACAAAGGACACATGAATTTCCAAGGCCCTTATGATCCACAAGGACCATTTTCAACAGTTTCCTGAAGGGATATTCCAGCTGAGGAGCATCCAACAGCTGGGCAGAGCCCATGAGAAACTTCTGTAGCAGTAACACTATCTGCTATTCCTCCAGCTCTGAGTCAGTAATGAGCTCCTGACTCTGGGGGAATTTAACCACATGCCCCATGATTCTGCCCAGGGAAGCTAGCATCATTGAGAAGGGTACTAGTTAAGGTGAGGACATCATTGAGAA